CCCCAAAACCCCAAAACCCCAAAACCCCAAAACCCCAAAACCCCTAAAAATTAAAAATAATTGATTATACATATTTGAAGTAATTTATAACAATGGGAAATTGTTGAGCTGCACCCAAAAATATGCAAAGTGAGTCTTCGAAGAATTCGAGTGTCATTCAAAAACAGTTGTCATCAGACATGGAAAATAACGCGAATAGCACCTTCGTGTCAGATAGCCCTTCCAAACAAGATTCAGTGTCGAAGCATGAGCCTGTTGAGAAGCTGAGACTAGATTCATTTGAAAAAATTTAGACAAATAGGCGAAGGTTCCTATGCAAAGGTATTCCTTGTGAAGAAAGTTGACTCTGAAGAATACTTTGCTATGAAAGAGTTAAAATAAAGTAAGAATCTGTGACCAGAGATCGAAGGAACGAGTCTTGACTGAAAGAAATATTATGAAAACAATGATTCATCCTTTTATTGTCCAATTACATTATTCCTTCCAAACTGATGATAAGCTCTATTTTATCCTAGATTTGCTCAATGGGGGAGATCTTTTTCATCATATCGCTACCTCAGGTAAATTCAAGGAAAAATAGAGTAAAATTTTATGCAGCTGAGCTAGTTCTTGCTTTAGATTTCCTTCATAGGCATGACATTGTCTACAGAGATCTGAAACCTCAAAATATAATAATAGGAAAAGATGGTCATGTGAAGCTCACCGACTTTGGTCTTTCGAAGGATAACTTCTCAGAAGATCAAGAGCATACTATTTGCGGTACCATAAAATACATCGCACCTGAAGCTATAGCTGGGCACCCATACAATCACATGGTTGATTGGTGGAGTCTCGGAATCATAATTTACCGGATGTTGACGGGTAAGCTTCCATACCCAACTACTAAAAATCACGAAGTTAAAATTTTTATTGTCAAATGTAAGATCAAAATCAGCAAGCGCAAGTTTTCAAGATCAGCTTATGACCTTCTCACTAAGTTACTTGTAAAAAATCCTGAGCATCGGCTCGGAGCTTGAGGTATTGAAGAGATAATGTCTCATCCATTTTTCAAGGATATAAATTGGGAGAAACTATACAATAAAAAGGTTACCCCTCCTTATCTTCCAAAGATCAAATCAGAGACAGATATGAAGCTGATCCCGAAAGATATGATTGATAAGGACATTGAAGGCAGCTCGATGGATGATAATGATTTCAAGGCTGGAAATATGCTCGGTCAGACATTTGAAAACTTCACTTACACTAAAGACCAGCTCCTTGAAGTTTGTCCTCGGGAAACTGAGATCTAGTAATACCACGATATATATTTTTCAATGAGTTGTTGCGAATAGGGGTTTTGGGGTTTTGGGGTTTTGGGGTTTTGGGGTTTTGGGG